GATTTATCTCGTCCACTAAATGCACAGGGAGGAACAATTATGTAAATGACGGGAGCAATATGGTCTGTGAATTGCATCGCTATCTGGACATCCCATCGACACGCGAGTTATACTAATTGTACGCTGTTGTTTTAGGTTCAGTTTTATAAAAGCTGATCATTATATTATTGTTGTTTTTAATTGAAAATAATATTGATAATGTTGGTTTCATTAAACTTTGCTTGTACTCATTTGAAGCTCTATTTTGATCTATTAACTTATGCGTGGTGATGTTTTTGAGTTGTAAGTGTGACCTTTCTACAACACTTTGTCACAAGATATTGTCGCCTACAGCCCTATTACATCGTAGATTATTGCGTTCCTCTGCGTCAAATAACATATTATATGAATTCTTTCAGTTCTTATACTAATAACTTTAACACTATTTACTATACTGGGTTTGATGATGTTATGTTGCCGACGTGACATCGATAAAGTATAGAATATGCTAAAATAAATTAAAATAAATAACTTTACTATTATTTGTTTTTGCTAAAATATTTTGTAAAGCACGAAAGACATTGACCATTGAATAAGCTTTGTTTGCACTCGTCGAAGAAATGCCACAGATGGATGACCACAACGAGGCCTTGACAGTTCAAGAAGCATCTCCAGCTAGTTCCAAGGGTCTTTGCTCCTGATTTACGGGCTCCGAAAACCGCAGGGATTCAATGTGCCTTTGTTGCGAACATATTTTTATTGAATAATAAAATATTTCCACAAAATGGAACAACTTTATAGGTCCATAATTCGATTTTAACGATTGCTGTTATGATTTTTTTTTGTTTAGTAAGTTTTAGAAACGATGTATTTTGTTTCACTCTGTTTTTTAATTTTCTAGAAAATTTTTTGAAGTGTAAACTATAATTCACTTCTAATAGGTTGAAAGACAATTAAAAAGTACTAACAATTAAACAATGACATCAGCGACATTAAATTAGTGGCGTGATGATAAAATAATAAAGGTAAAAACACATTCGTGCTTAAGATACCATCGTTTGGTAAAACGCGAACATGGAGATAATGGGTCGATGAATAATAATGAGGTCTGTAAGTGTGAATCACCAAATATATTTAAATTGTTATCAATTAAAAGCAATATAATAGCGATTTGAGTCGCGTACCCTGGCCATATGGCGTAGATACCGCACGGGCTACCGTGGAGCCAGGAAAAGGACGGATTAACATGGGGAGAGCGTACCTGTCTCAATAAGTTAATTATGTTTTTATTTTAGTAAAATTGTTTAATAACTAAATACAGCCGGATAGAACCGCACGGTTCTATCCGCTGCTCAGTTCCTAATAGTCGTACCGTGATGTTTTATAGCTTATACGAGGAGCACTCAGGAACATTGTAGCATGTAGAAATGTAGAAGAGAAGATTAGCATGTAGACTCTATCACTGAAAAAATTTTTTTAAATACGACCAGCGGTTCTAATGATTACACCCTACATACAAACTTACAAATTTTACCTCCTTTTAATATTGGTATAGATGATTTGTATTAAGTTAATCAATACTGATAATATTGCGTTTTGCAAAAAAACCTTTTACCGAATAGAAATGTAACCTTTGTCAATTTAATAGCAGTAATATTTTAAAACAGTAGCTTAAAATGGACTATTTGGTTAGAAAACTTTTTTACAAATTACCTAGTCATGATTTCCCGACACCCGCTGTTCTAGTGGCCTCATAGTTGATGTAAATTTGTCGGGCTCAATTGAAGTTAATAGGAAAGTACGGAGGGTGAGGATCGCCAGCTGACGCGAGGTGTGAGGGAATGCTGCCCTCCCTCAACACTCGACGACGGATGCACAATTGATGGTCAAATAAAAAAATGCATGATGATGACATGGACGTGGGTGGGGCTTTTAAAATGGTTATTATGAACTATTTTAGGAGCTCCGAAATTTATTATGCGTAGGTATGTATCTATCTACGTAGGCATAAGGTTTTGATTGAGATCCAATGTAAAATTGTTATTAATAACATTGTTATACCTTTCAAGTCATCGCCCTCCAGTAAAAAATTACTAATACATTGCAGTTCTCTATATACCTATAGAGTAGGAACCTTTTTATAGTATTATGTAGTAAGTATCTACATAGGGCATCTAAAAATTTTGTATTTAACATCAATAAAAATCAATAGATGTATAGAATTATAAAATTAGTGACATAATGGTGATTATATCGTAATAAAAATTAAATTTTTAAATTATGAATTGTAATTAAGAAATTAAAAACTAATTCGTAGTTTTCAACTAAAGTAATAAAAATATATGGAGATTATGTTAAAGCATTCACACATCTGGAGTACTTATTTAAATAAAATATTCAGAGTACCCGGTGTAGCAGTTTAGTAAAACAAATGTGTCGTCCATAAGCGGTTTGTAAGGGAGGGTAAACCTCATGAATGTTAAGCAAACAGATAATATGAACGGCTTTACCTCCCCTTCTTGATACTCGATAGTGACGATTGTCCACAATTGATGTTATTACTGGTCTATAAGTGTTCGAATTGGTTTATAGACAGAGTAAACATTATTATTGCTTTGTTCATTAGAAAAGATATTTTTTGAATGCGTAGGAATTTAATGTAAAAAAATCAAATGAGGTGTAAATTCAAATCTCTGAGTTGGTTTCTGATAGATCATAAAGGTTGGTTTTAAATAATTGCGAGTGTAGTGTTTTTAATAAATACTCTTTGCCATAATAAACCACAGACACACAAAAAATCGGCTAATATTCAGAGCGAACGAAACTTCTTAATTCAAATAAATATAAGTATATGCATAAACAATTTTTAAACGCTCAATTATATTTTTTTTTGGAATTGATGGCTTTTAGTCTTTGTTTCCATTGCGTTGCTATTTTATTGTTTTGCATAGCATATTTTACAAATTTTGACTGTTTTGAATAAAATGAAAAAAATACGAATGAAATCAAGAAAATATCAATGCACATTAAGGTACGAAGGCGTCTACAACTTTTTTGAATACTTATGTACATATTTTTTCACGATGATATTGTATTTAATTAGTTGGATTGCGAACAAAAACCCTTTTTATTACCATAACCTCAGTTTAAATTGCTTTCAAAGCATTAATGTCAATACCTGGGATGCACGGTTGCACGTGGCAGCGACAGCTGTGCCGATATCATCTTGTTGGGGACATCGCAATACGCCGATAAATACGTAAGCTTTGTGGGTGGTTGAACTTGTCACTGCCGGTATTGCAATTTGTTAAATGTTAATAAACCAAAAGCTAGTTACTAGCTAGTTTTTGTATCAAAACATTTCGTTGAATTTTATTTAGTGCTTCCTGATTTGTCATTACCATTTTTTTTATTTCATACATTTTTTTAAATTACCTACAGATGTATTTTTTTAAATTTAGAACATTAGTTTTAATGTTGACGAGAATAACATTCGATAAGTCAAATGACTGGTGGCATAACAAATAAAAAAAAACAATAATGAATTTTGGCGCGAAATCAAAAAATGATTTATTTTTTAATCTATATTTTAGGTCTGAAATGCGGTAAGTCAGTGTGTGACCTTTACATAATCGATTGATTTATACGTACCAAAGAATATTCTAGATAGTTAATTCATTACTTAATTGTGCGTGTTGTGAAATCATTAGACTCTGAGTATCTACAACCAAGACTATAAATTGGTAAGTAAGTAGCATTTAATTATTTAATTAAGTTGGACATACGACATGACTTTATCATATCATGGAGCTTTGAATCAAAAAGTTATCAGGTTCAGGTTGAAACTAGTTGCTAAGCTTGTTATAAAAAGGCAACTAATGTGTATTAGAATACAGTGTGCAGTGTATTGAACTAGGATGTAGTAGAAAAGTCTAGATTTAGTTTGTAGCCTGGGAACGCAGCTGCTGTGACACCTGCTGGCGACTTCTAATGCCGCACACGCAGAATCTCAATCACATTAGAATTGAAAACTAATAAATATCGACGTTTCCTTATAAAAGTGACAATGTTTATATTTACCTACATACTTTTTTGTGTTTTTATTGACACATGTACCTGTTTAGGGATGTAGGCAGAATATATAATTTTAATAAATATGTTACTATAGATACTTTTTATCGTTTTCAAGAGGCTGGTATACTACATACTACTACCTATACACTTAGATATCTGTTTTCTGTAAAGCAGATATCTAAGTTCAAAACATTATCCTTGTAGGTGCGTTTACAGAAAATGTGGCTTGATATTAAAATATCTAAAATGTTGCAAATCAGTGGGAAATTGAAAATTAAATATTTATCACACATAATTTCACAATATAAATCAACCAGAGACAACAGACAGATAAATAAAGGTCGTTTCATTGTTTTTTTTCATAGATTGAATTATAAAAGAGTTTTTAATTGCTGGGGATTATGAGAACTCTCATATTAATTACCCTCTAAATGAGCTTAACGTTTCGTCGCTACAACGTTTGTTTTAAAAAAAGGGTTGAATGCACTTGAGGGCTATTGTTTTTCGCCTATAAATCTAATGTATTGTAATTATACAGTTTAATGTGTGACAGTCGCTTTGTCGTATGTAAATGTTCGGGGAAGATTGTTAGAGTGGGGTGGGAACGGAACAGGAGCTACAATATTGGTGCACGACGGGACGCCACTTCATGCCGAGGATGGGGTCGTATGGACCATGTTTATAATGCATGGGTTTAAAACTGGATGTCCTCTAAAAGATTGGTATGAAAAATTACAAGTTTGATTGACAAGGTCATATTTTGCAATTGTTTTTATTTTCGTATATAATTATATTCATCTATACTAATATTATAAAGAGGTAAAATCTGTAAGTTTGTATGTAGGGAGTAATCTTTGGAACCGCTGGTCGGATTGGCAAAATTTTTTCACTGATAGATATAGCTACAATGTTTCTGAGTGCTATAGGCTATAAAACATCACGCCACGATGAAATGGGCCCAGAAGCAGGTGGAACCGCGTGAGAGTAACTAGTATTATATAAAACTAGCTATTCTCGCGCGGATTCACCCCCTATGTACAAACTTACATACTTACAGATTTTACCTCTTTATAATATTAGTGTAGATTGATAATGGTACCTAGGTAGTATTTCTAATATTATGTTTTGTTGAGCTACATTAAACTCAGCTATTATTCTAGTCAGTAACCCACACACATATATATCACACTCTAATATTGTAGTTCAGTATTTAGTAAAAGAACAATTCCCTGGTAAGCAATCTTCATTGTGGAGTTCAATTGTTTCTTATAATACTGGCTCAATTGAACATTGAAATCATACGGCGATCGCTTACAAACCAAATAATTAACAATGAATTAAATAAGCCCCTAGTTTTATAACCTCTACAGTTCTAAAATAATGCTCCGAGACGTATTTCTATAACTTGTGAGCAATTGTGGCTATTGTGAACATTGTTTCGAGTACAAAGCGTAAGTAGCCACTCTAGTATGAGAAACTGTTGCGTTGCTAAATTATCGCGTGTGGGAATGTGGGTATAAATTTTACGATTTATTTTTTAAATTTTCAGCTTTTGTTTGGATGTACCTACTTCAGTATTTTTTTTGCAAATTTTGAAGAAAAAAAAAACTTTTTGACGCATAAATATGATGACATCACAAGTCTGTATCTTATAAAAAATCAAAGAAATGTATTGTTTTTGTAATTTCGCTAAAAGTATTGAATTCGACTTGTCGTCGAAAGCCATATTATTTCAAAAACATTCTTGTTAATTATAATATTAAAAATAAGGTAATGAGTTAATTTAGGTACATTGAGAAAGCAACAATTACATAAAAATAAAAAGTAATACGCCATATAAATTTCTTTAAATCCTGATAAGATCATCGGCTATTATAAAACAGCTTCCGATCATGAGATCCCAATATACAAATCGGCATTCAATAACAATGTATTAAAATAGCGTTTGAGCAGTCAATTAGGCGGCAACGTATCGTGCATGGAGATACCGCGATGGTGGTCCATTGTGGGCAGGCGCCTCGTGGTTCCTAGCGTCGGCCACTCGTGCGCATACAATGCAACAACACTGTTACCTATTTTTATAACTGCTGCTTTTACTGCCGCTCCGCTGACCACACTAGAGGTCGCGTTTGTGGGAAGTTTGTAGTTTGTGTAATATTCGAATGACATACAGTTGGATATTTTCACACTTCAACCTGAAGACTGTTTGACTAAAGTTTTATACCATAAAATCTCGATTCACAGTGATCCAGGAAATATTTATAAGTTTACAGGAGTTCAATACACCTCTATTCCTCAATATAATTTATTTGCCTTTTATATTAACATGTCAACCCTAAAGCTGCAAAGATTTTAATGATAAAAAATATCGTTAAACTCTTGCGTGTAAACTGTAAATCATAATGAGAAATGGCGCCTTATCAGCAAGTATCAAACGAAACGATCGCATAAAAGAATGGCGAACAACCGGCGACCTCCCGATCGCTCCCAACTGCGGATCTAGTGGCTTGTTACTTCACACCGTTGTCAAAGAGTTGGGTCGTTCGTCTAGCGATCGAGATGATAGATAAGTGCGTTCTCACCTCCCCGTGGTCGCAGGCGCAGTCACTGCGTCGCGAAAGGGTTCGCCGAATAATTGCAACAATCAATTTGAAGGAGCTATCGAGCAATTTGTATGGTATTTGTGCGGGCTGTCACCCGCTGATGCTATCGACGCGCCTCGGGGAGCCAATGGGAAATGATTTTAGTAGTTACTTTCTCACACCTCAAGTACCTAATTAAAATGGCTAGGAAGTCTCTCGGCGAACATAAGTACTTGTCGTTGTGTTGCAAGTTATTAGCAATCACTTTACTACTTACTTTGTGCAAAGGTAACTTATGGAGTACCTACGCAATAAAACTGTCCGAATTCCCACCGATTTGAAAAAATATTAATATCGAGACTAAATTGTCAATCAACATAATAGATACTGATCGCATCAGGTGCTCTATGGGAAGTGTCTCACAAACTTGCCACTTACCAAGAAGTCAAACTCCGAACATAACTCACCTCGGATTCCATAATAAGACGTAAACATCAGGTCGTTGCAATATGTCACCGTGTAACAAAGCGTTGCGGTAACGGTCCGCATCATTTGTCTGCCGTAACCCTGTTATTTATGATTCCTGCCGAAGAAGGAGGACAAAACGCGACTGATGTTAAATATTTGTCCTGAGACAAGAGGGGGCGATAATTCGAGGCTATTATGACGTCATTTCACGCCCTTTGTGAGGTCGTCACGGCGTGTCATCTGCTCCTCGAGACGCCTGCCTCGACTATCTCTCGATTAAATCTATTGTGTCATTTTTTCAGTGAGTGCAAGTCGGATGCGCCACCGACGATGATTTCGTCCCGTTCGCTTGTTCGCTCGACTTCGCTATAAAAACACTTGAGGAGCTGCCCTATTGTCTCGTGGCCCTTTTACGAGCTCCGTTTTGTGACGCTGTTATTGTTTGCGGTTGATAAACATCTCGCCACTAGGTAGGTAGGGATCATCGTCACTTTTACCGGCGGTTTACATTAATACAGCTCCATCGGGTTTGTTTGTCAATTATTGTTGTACTCAATGCATGTTTGGGACGTCATTTTTTAGGATGGACTTAATGAATACGGAGCTGTTGGCATTCACGAAGGATTTGCCGTTGAATGCAGAGCCTGTATTCAAACAAGATCCGAAGCTTGCCGCTGCTATTGATAAACTCTATACTAATCAACATAAATTAATGGGCTCAGTAGACATATTAATGCTTCCTGAACGAAAAATAGATTTTATGGAAGTTCAGCAGCTTTTAAAAGGTTCTAAAGCCGAAAAAAGTGATTTAGGTAATGATTAAAACAACACATATAAACATTTTGCTGCCCCGCCTAATATAAATTGCAAGCTAATACGTGTTTCCAGGTGCTTTTAAACCTCCACATGTCCATTTGAAGGAGACAAATGACGAAAGAAGGTTGCTTATAAAAAAAGTAGAACAAATATTGGACGACATTAACAAACGAGCAGAAAGTGGAGATACACCGAAACTTGTGATTCGGAATCAGAAGTTATGGAGCAATTGTGTTTATGATTTAGACAGGTGAGAGGGCAGAACAGAAAATGTTGTAGATAATATAGTAAGCTAGTGTGTATACATTTATTTATACCTAGAAGGTATACATTATATGAAAAATCATATGCCGGTAATCTAGGAAAACCAGAAGCGTGGAGGAAAATCCACATGTGTTTTCCGTTAACCATATGGTTAGCAAAGTTATGAAATTTCAGATAGAAACGCCAACAATGGCCAATGTATACGGTTTCAAATAATATATATAACTATGAAATTCTTGATAGATATGTTATTTTCCTGTCGTTCATCAATTTAATTGTTTTAATTGACTTTAAATTGCAAGGCTGGTGTCAGACTTTCACTGATTATAAACCACCCTTTTCCTTCTCTTGCTCTAAGCCGAGGCTGCGGTACCTTACTGCGTTTGCTCTGAGACCTCGGCTGAACACCAGCCTTTTTGGACCCCATCTGTGGTGACTGTTGGCAAATCCTTTGTTTCGATTCAAAATGTGTATATTTGCATTTATATTTAGATAAACATAAACATAAACTGTAGATAATTTATCATTATTAATTAGATTTAAGTGTCATTTCAAAACACAAATGCGTACTTTCCTAAATGATTCGCCATTGATTAAACTGCCAACAGACATTTGGATAATGTTAAAGTGATTATTGAAAATTTCAGAGTAACGCTAAAAGCTTTTAACGATGCGAAGAAGACAACTCTTTGTTATGCCAGTGGCAAAGACAAAACAAGATTCAATATTATTGTTTTTGTGTTAACTAAGGTTCATGAATTGCTTTCGAAGAACCTGACTGTGACTAGACGGTAGGTATACAGTAGCATCGTTATATTTTTTTTATATGGTATAGTTCTGCAAACGAGCAGACGAATTACCTGATGGTAAGCAATCAATGCCGCCCATGGATACTCGCAACACCAAAGAAGTAACGAGTGCGTTCCCGGCCTTTTAGGGATAAAGATTTCGGATATTAAAGGATTGGGTAAGAGAAGGTATTAGGTCTCCGGTAACCTCATTTACACAGTAAAACAACCGTTTTACGCCGGTTTCCTGTGAGGCCGTGGTATCACTCCGGTCGAGCCGACCCTTTCGTGCCGAAGCTTGGCTCTCCCACACTTAAGATAATAGATATAACAAAAAATCGTTTGTAAAAAAATTTACCTACTTTCATCATAATTTTAATAGTTTCTATCAAAAACAGAGAGTTGTTCTACCAGAACGTCATGAGGCTTCGTAACCAGTGTAATTTGGACCTGGCAGTGAGGGATGTGTGCTGCTTGCTTGAGACTCCGCCCTGGACTCTTGGTATAGTGGCCACGGCTAAAGGTCTCATCGCTGGACCCCTTACATTACATCTCAGAGACGGCAGCGTAGTTGATTGTATGGCACCTGGGGGTAAGTTATTATTATATCAAGAGATGTTATTAAAGATTATTTTTACACTTTCTTTTACAACTTTTTGGCATGACCTTAGTGGAAATGAGTAATTGTGGCTTTATTATGTACCATTTTACAATTGGATACTGGTTAAAATCGATAGTTTTCTATTAATTTTGTACAAGACAAAGACAAAAGATAGTTACATTAATATGTAAATATAGCGTCAAATGATAGTTACATTGTTCCAAAAGTAAAAAAAATATCATATTGTACAACCAATTACTGATAGTCTATGTATAGGTACATGAAAGCGTGTATGTTTTGAATACTTTTTTGCATTTAAAAGTCGTTACAAATTTGTATTTAACAAAGTAGATAAAGTTCCCAATTATATTATTTGTCTAGGCTCTCTCACGAAGTCATAACATTATGGAGCAAGTCTCTGCAATAAACGATTATTATTATAATCGATAGTGAGAAGAATACGAAATCGATAAGATTCAGTAGTGTTTGCATGTGCTCCATTTAGTTTTTTCAGTTTAAATTCGGAATTTATTTAAAGTCTAGAGAAAGCTATAATAACAGTGACACACATCCTTTTAACTCCACAGGCGTACTAATACCACAAGACATCGTGGGGATCAAAGAAATACAGTCCACAGCTAAATACATTCTGGTGGTGGAAAAAGATGCCATATTTCAAAAACTGCTGGACGAAGGAGCATTGCTTCGATTGGGACCCGTAATCATTATAACGGTAAGCTTTTGAATCTTGTTGATAATTTTATTTGGTTTTAGATGTGTATTGTTATTTCAGAGTTATCATTATTAAAATAATAATTGGTAACATTGCTAAACATAAGCGTCTCAATAACTTCTATTTCAGCTTGTTGGAAGCGGCCTCCTTCGTTCTCCTTCGTGCAATCTCTAATTTTCAATGTTTACAGAGTTCTTAACGTAACGTTGTGTTTCGCCGTGTGAGTGAGGTTACCGGAGGCCCAATTCTTCCCCTACCCCAATCCCTTCCCAATCCCTAAATCCCCAAAATCCCAATCCTTAAAAGGTCGGCAACGCACTCGTAACTCCTTCTTTGCTGCGTCTAATCCGTTTGCTCGTTTGCCGTCCTACCATATAAAAAAAAGTTACTTACTTTTAACAGTTCTTTAATTTATGGTCCCAAAAGATGAATCAGTCACGTCACTTTATTTATTTGTTGTTGGATGGGTACATTTTCGTAGTCTATTTTGTAATACGGTTTATTTACAACGTCTGTTACATGTAATTCATAATTGGTGAACATTGTCTGTGTGTACATTAATATCTCCTTTGGGGATGAAGGCGTGACGATACTATCAAGTTTATTATCATTGTAATCAAGTTAACCCGTATAAAATCATATTCATGAAAAGTTATCAATTTCGTAATATTGTTAGTACAATTATTAACATTTAAAATCAAGTAAAGCTGGCCGGGGTTGCGGGGTAAGCGCAATGAGGCCCCGCGACCTCGGCCTAGAGCAGGAGTAGGAACAGGGGGTTTTTAGTCAGTAAGAGTCTGACACTCCCTCCCGCCTGACCCTGGGCGGGAGAAGTCATTTGATGATTTTCCCCTCACAAAAAAAAAAAAAACAAGTAAAGCTACAATTCCACTGGTCAAGCGCAATAAGTTACCATAGCATTGGCCAGGAGCAGGAGAATGAACTGGGGTGTTATTATATTATCCAGTAAGTCTCTGACGGTCCATCTCGCTATACTCTGGTCGTGAGGAGTCATTTGATGATTCATAATATCATACTTACATCATCAGCCTATAAGTGCCCACTGCTGAGCAAAGGCCTCTTCTCATACGGAGAAGGTTTGAGCATTAATCACCACGCTTGCTTGGCGAACGGATTGGCGATTTAAAACTTATAATTAGATATTGTAAGTCCAGGTTCTTCACGATATTTTTTATTCACCAGTCAATATGTCAGTGGTGTCTAAATAATCATAGGAAGTCCGTGGTGGCCCGGAGGTTAAGAAGCCCGCTTCTTATGCATGAGGGTGTGGGTTCGAAACCTGGCAAGTACCAATGTGACTTTTTCCGAGTTATATGTACTTTCTATGATTATTTAGACACCACTGACATACGGTGAAGGTAAACATCGTGAGGAAACCTGGACTTATAATTTCTAATTGTAAGTTTGAAATCGCCAACCCGCATTGAGCAAGCGTGGTGATTAATGCTCAAACCTTCTCCGTGTGAGAAGAGGCCTTTGCTCAGCAGTGGGCATTTATAGGCTGATGACGATGACGATGATAACAGTCACATTAGTACTTGTCAGATTTCGAACCCGCTCTCTCATACATGAGTAGTTAGATGATTATCCCATCTCAGAAATAAAGTTACAATTTACCTATACTCTTATAATATTTAAAAAGTCAAAACGACAGGATCTTGCGAGGCGACACATTAGTATTCAATGTATGAAACACTTAATTAATCATCTACACTTTAATTATTGTACACTGAGTTAATATATTCAGTAGCTACCAGTCTTGTTATGTTTACCTAACTAGCAAACCAGATATTATAGCTTTAGGCAGATCCATTGATTTGCGGTTTATCTTACAATTATACCTTAGTGTCAAACTAGATTGATAATAATGGCAGCTGATACGCGAAGCTAGTATTTTCACGTTTAAAGTTAAGATTATGGCATAGTTATGTAGTTAGAAGGATCGTTATAAACGCAACTGTAAAGCGTGGGAGAGCTTCTGTACAAATGGCCCGGCTGGACCGAGTGATACCTACTACGGACTCACAGAATGACTGTGAGATGTTACATTTTCGTTCGTTATATATCATCACTTGTGTTGTGTTTCACCAGCTCCATCCTGTCACCCATTCCCAAACCTCGAGTGCTTTATTCCTCAAATCCTAAACCTTTAAAGGCAGGCAAGGCACTTGTAACTGCTTTGTTGGAGCGGGTTTTATGAGAGCCGCGGATTGCTTACCTTCATCGTGGGGATGCATATACTCGTTTCCTGACCCATCCTTTATTGGTCACATTTATTTTGTTTCGTACATCTTTTTAACTTACATAAATCGCGATGAAAAGTCGAACTATCGAAGACTTATAAGTAGTCCAATTACTTTAAGTAGGATCAGATTGAATTTTAGCTTTTCATCAATTTTTTTTCTATTGAACTCTCTGGACGTCAGCAACACCGGAAGAGTTACGAGTGCGTTGCCGGTCTTTTGGGAGTTAGGTAAGAAGGATTGGACCTCTGGTAACGTCACGCATACGGCCGGTATTCCGTTCGAGCCGACCAACACGTACCGAACCATGGCGCTCCCACACTTAACATTTTCAGAATCTTCGCAAGGTGGCCAAAATATTGTCTGTTTAAGTCCTCGTTGTTATGTAAAGACTAATTTTCAGGGAAAAGGATATCCCGACGTGTGTACGCGACAGTTGTTATGTCGTTTGTGCTCCGAGTTGAGGCTACGTGCGCTTGCGCTGGTTGACGCGGATCCACACGGATACGAAATATTCCTCACTTATAAATATGGATCATTGGTAAATATAAAAAATATTTTACATTTTTCTGTATTTCAATAAGTTTGAAGGTCAAATCAGTGAAACCAGACCGAAAACTTGTCGAGTGTATGTCGATGCATTTTGTAACTTGTCATCGATAGAGCTTTAAAGGTTGCATGTTTTGAACCAAACATTCTAAGAACTAATTTTAACAAATTCAATAGATATGTCTCTCTTAAAAAAATATCCATTTTGTTAATTTACAGAGCCAATCCCACCTCTCATCATCTTTAGCCTGTAGTTCCCTTGTAATGTTGGGAGCTCGGCACAGTGACGTAATGACCTTGGCTCCTACCGAAGCTAGGCTGCCACTTACTGATTTGGACAAGAGGAAAATTACGAACCTACTTAAAAGACCGTATTTAAATAATAGTCAAGCTGGTAAGTTCATTTTTTTGCACAAAAAATATTGTTGTAAGCTACCAAGCAACAAGGTCGGTACTAACTATGTTTTTCAATTACTTATGAATGAACTTGGTAAATTAAAAGAGTTATTAAAAGCTTTAATTAAAAACTTAAAAGATAATGAAGACTATATGTATACTTAGCTGGGGTTGCAAGGCTAGCGCAATAATATTAAACAGTACAGCGGTCTCGCCCCAACTCAGGAAGATAGTTAGTCAGTAAGAGTCTGACACTCCCTTTCGCCTCATCGTTTACGAGAGAACTCATTTGAATATTTTCCGCTTACAAAAATGACTATATCGCATGTTTAATGGAAAACAGAACTGACTACCGACTTTCACTGACTGACCTCTGAGTTTGTTTCGGCATTTCTTCTCAGAGTAGTCAGATAGGAAATGCCGGGCTTCATCTAGTTTTTCACATATAATTTTACGTCTAAAAGTGCCGTTTTATGGCCTATTTGCAAAAATGAATTCATTGTTTCATTTACTCATAAAAGAGGGATTTCAAAATTGTTCATTAACGTTAAAAATAATTTTCAAGATTCGAATAAGTATTTTGAATCAGACCTCTTTTTTATTTAGTATACGATATGTATACTTAACATAAATTTAATGTAGGTATGTACAAAAATAATACAAAGGTTACTTAATCCTTGTCCATAACAAAGCGTTTATTCCAGGGGCTTGTATAAAAGAAGAGTTGACAGTAATGCTATCTAGCGGCACGAAGGCGGAACTAGAAGCTTTGGCGCCCACCGCGGCCGCTCTCTGTGACGCTTATTTACCAGCTAAGATTATTCAGGGCATTTATTTAGGATAATCAATTAAATATTCGTGAAAATAGATGCATCTGAATAATTCTATACTTAATTTTGATGTTTTAATTGTAGTTACAAGTAGAGTAAGTTATAGTTGCGTATTCAATTGATTGGAATATAATATCTAGTTATATTTTTTTAAGTTTGTATGCGATAATATTTGAAACGGCTAGTCGGATTTCCAATATTATTTAGATATAATGTTCCTGAGTTGACCTGGTTTCGAACCTGCACCCTCAAGCATGAGGTGGTGCCTTAACCTCCTTGCCACCACGACTTCATGAGGTGCACTTACAAACATACAAAATCATATCTTCTTATATATAATAACTCAATAACGCCTGGACCAATTTGGCCAATTCTTTTTTTAAGATGTTCGGTGAAGTCCAAGGATGGTTCTTACGGTGAGAAAAAAACGAATAATTGCCGGGAAAACCCTAAAAACAGCCCTTTTCTTTTTCACATACAAACGTTTTCTAACTAAAATGTAGAATCAATTTGAGCTTTATTGCTGTTTTACATAAGGTTCATATTAAATAACAAGCACTCACTGTTATCTAAGAAATAAGTGAAAGAAGAAAAGGTGTGTTCCTAACGTCAAAAAGCAAATTTGCACTTTCTTACCACTAAACAAAGTTCAAATTCAATCATATCTATCAAAACAGTGTGCGCGTGTGCTTTGGAGCTGGAGCGCAGAATTCGTCGTATGAGGATTTAATGTTGCGTTCCTAAAACAAAAAAAAAAAGCGATCGCGCACAAAAAAAAACATTGGTATGGGTAAAAAACACAAATTAAAAAAATAACTGTCAATGTCAATTTGCCGCCTTTGCCGGTGTTGTTTTTCTGCTCCTTGGATTTGCCAGGATTGCCACCTCACAATCTTCAATTAATGATTGGATCCGTACCTAATTAATATGTTGCGAAATATCAACCAACCGCGCCTTTACAACATGATAGAACAACAAAGAAAAGTATTAAAGAGAAGACGTTCTCATACCGCGCATCCCAATGATTCCGACTTATGTGCCATTTGAGTTTAAACGACTACAGTTTCCAGTGCGGCTTGCTTTTGCTATGACCATAAACAAGTCTCAGGGGCAATCATTAAGTTTTGATTAATTTGGAAAACCCATGTTTCTCACATGGTCAATTGTATGTTGTATGTTGCCTGTTCCCGTATTAGAAAACCATCAGATTTATTTGTCTATGCGCCGGGTAATCCAACAATAAACATCGTTTATCACAAAGCACTACAATGAAAATAGAACTGATTTTTTTTTGTAAATACATAATTATTATGATTAACATTATTAAAATTACTTACTTTTAAATGCTTATAGTGTGTTATTTAATTATTTTTAATTCACACCGAATTATTACCAGGGTGACCAGGTGACCAGGTTCTGTTCAAGATATTTATTTGCAAATAATATAAAATTGGTAGGAATAAAACACAACAACATAAACATTTGTTTGACAGGATGAAGTCTGTCGGGTCAGCTAGTAATTAATATAACGTAGGTGTAAAAATACTCTAGTATTGGTCCAGGTTTTTCTTATTTAAAAAAGATAAAATTGTTACTAAGGAATAATGACTAATTATTTAATGTCTTTGAGGGCGACAGAAAGAAAATTCAAGCCGTTATGTAGTTTGTAAGATTTACAATCTGTGCTACGAGTCTGCTACGAGTGCTACAATATTTATCGTCATAATTATCATCGCCGATGATTTTTAGCTGCTCTAGTTATGTGTATTATTAAAATTAATAATAATAAGTCTCTCTACAGCATTATTTCTTTTGTATTATGTACCATACTTTTGAAAAACTAATAAATAATCATAATTTTTGTATCTAACCATTAATTCGATTACCATATCTTCCTTTTTCTTTTTAAAATTATGTTATTTGTTTTTAGATTTTGTGGTTTCAACTTATTCGTAATTCTGTTTTAATATAGGTACTATGAATGATAAATACATTTAAATAAAACTACTTCAGAGATATTTTATTCTCTCAATAAACATACCGTGGTGCCATCTATCGTGTGCGCTGTGATAAACTTCGAGCTTTGTTCCGTTCTTGGTTCACATTCAACTTTAAAATAAGGGGTTGCGTGATAGGGGACTGCGTTGTTAGTATGTAGTTGTATAAGTAGATGGCGTTTCGATTGACGTGTACCTACGGTGCCATCTAGTAGGTAAGTAATAAAACTTTTTACAATGAATTGGACCATAGTGAATTCTTATATTTTTAATGGATACGTTGACAAACTAGCAGAAGATGTACCGTAATCAGAGAATAGACGTATAACACGAATAATGGTATAATGGCGCTGCCTATGGACAATCACAACATCATAGGATTATAGGGGGATATTACAAGTGCAATGCCAGAATGTTTTTAGGGATTTGAGCTTGATTTGGCTTGGATTTTTGTGGATTGTGGATGGGGATTGAGGAGTGAGAAGAATTTAGCCTCCGGAATCCTCACTCGCTCGGGGAAACAGAACGTACGTTTTGCTTCTCGACGGTATTTTGTGAGGTCGTGGTAACACTCCGTGGCAATTCGTGAAAAGTTTGCTCTCCCACTCTTTTACAAGTTTATATAAAAGTATGGGGGGCTAGATTATTTCGTTCACAAGTCTGCCTTGTGTGCCAAGTAGGGATGAAAGTAGGGATTTTGCAGGCCTACCAATAGGCCTGCAAAATCCCTACTTTCTACTCATGTATTATATTAAAATAAGTCGGGTTTTCCTTCCAGACGCTGTAACTCCAGAACGCACGAACCGACTTCCACGGTTCTGTATTCGTTGGAAAGCTCCGTGCGGTTTATTATAGCAAAGAAAAAACAGGAAACATATTTTTTCACATACAGCGCCAACTTTTTATTTATACTTTTTGCTTGAGTTGTTAGCCCCCATAGACTTGTTACACTTTTGGTAAAATTGACACTTTTTGGCATATATTTTATACAAGAAAACTAACCTTTAATGCGTGAAAAATGTGATAATAATTATTAGTATAAATTGACAAGTTTTACACAACTCACCATAATAGTTATAATGATAAAATGCAACACTATATCTAAATTACTGCGTAAATAGCCATGGAAAATAATGGCGAACAACCTAACGATAAGAAGTTGGTCAATAAAGCGAGATCTTGCAATAACGCGTCGCCTACAAAACTTAAGGGTGAGCCAGCAAAATGGAAGTCATTTAACGTGAACGAAGCGGTGAGGTCTTTAGATTTGGCGTTGGGTAGGCTGAAGAAGAGCAAGCTGGTGAACGGTGACTTTGCGTCGAGCCGGGGAATGAATCCGGCGGCGCAGGGCGCCTCCGACATGTTCATGGACATATGCACCAGCTCCACATTCCGTTCCGTTCCGGGCACGGAGAACGCATCGCTGATGTCCATGAACTTCTCGCACTACGAGCTGATGCGCAACGTGTCGCGCTGCAACTGCAACTCGGACGAAGCGTTCAGTGACACGACGTGCAGCTCGCGCCTCAGCCCCGCCGACCTCAACTTGAAGGACGAGCACCTCGAGCGCTACTTCCGCTCCGTCGAGATGTGGTCCCACAACTACCGCAACGCTGGCAGCAGCATGAATCTAGACTTATCAGATAAGTAGTACCTAGCCGTTTATTGTCACATTTCTTATATTAACGCCATAAATAAAACTGCAATATGAACGATTATGTAAATTTCAAAATTTTATTTATTCAAAGAAACTTTACAATAATAACAGAATAATCTCAGAATTTTTACAAATCAAACGTACCAATCTATACAACACTGTAACTCTTAAACGAGACGATAAGATTTATAACACTGATTAACAATAACGTAGATTTTTAGATGATTTCTAGGGCCATCAAACGGCGCGGTACTGAATACAACATCTCATATGCCACGCTCATATTGGACTGGCTTGTTTTATAAACTACTGATCTCTTAGACCACACACGTTTGGTTATTACAGGTACACCTCTGTCAGTATATTAGTGTTGTATTCAATATCGTTCGTCTTCAATCTAACCGCTAAGGGAGCAATCCGCGGCACTCTAAAGATACAAGGCGGACACTACGCTGCATCCCAACTGCACTCCACACACACGCAGTACTGTGTACCTTAAACTATGCACATTGTTTTATTGCTTAGTTAAATTGACAATTAATTCGCTTCCACCTCAACTTCGAGCATTTCATATGTTTCTTCTGCTTTATCGTCCGTAGTCACATCATAATATTGTTAACCAACCTATCTATACAATTATTTATGCAATGTGCAAGTGGAGTGCAGTATAGCGTTTAATGCAGGGATCCTAAGAACACAGCATTACTGATTCACATTTATACCACATCCATTGAATCTGGATAAACTAGGACGAAAATCTAAATTTTATATAGAGATTTTATCGAAGGACATTTTAGAAGTAAACGAAATTAACGATTACGTAGCTGATCAGAGTTGGAAAAGTGAAATAATTGACATAGTCATCACATAGTTCCTACTTTCCTGCATCAAGAATAAGACAAGGTACGGAAGCTTTCGCTGCACTGGAAGACTAAGGACTATAGACTGGAAAGGAGTAAAAGTTAGGAGTGAAGCGGCGTGCAAACGATTAGATCCATCATTGTGCTAAAATTTCGTAACAACCCGGTAAGTATGTCGTTTCTTTATATAAATACTATAATATGAATTTAATTGGTGTTATCCGCTGAATATCTCATAATCCAAACGATGAGAAATGGAAAGTACTCTTAATTAGCGCGTGGCGGCCGCCCGGGCCCGCCTCGCAGTGTATAACTAGAGAACATTCGCTAATGAAATCAATACGTACAACATGATGTAAAATTTAAAGCACCCGGTTTCCGAACTCTCTCGTATTTTATCTAACTATAAAATCTCATATGTGTGTGACGTACACGTAGCCCGTATTATATTGTCTATGTCTTGTTTCATAACTGGAGAACAAAGCAATATTGTTTATTTAATTAATAATGGAAGAATTTTTCAAAATATCTAAATTAACATTAACCTTATGATAATTATTTTAATAATTACAACGAATTCGATTTCACTAGGCCCTACGCAATGTCAGATGGAGACATTATAATTATTATTTAATAAAATTTAATCCTTTATCGTTACGTACAATTATGCAATAGAAGAATCACAGCATCCTTAAGACCATAACGGCAATTGAAATTAATCTCATCGACGTATCGTAGGTATTTAATTAGTACAATGATTGTAAAATTTAGACCAAATTGGCAGTCTTCACAAACATGGAATGTACGATATGCGTCTATGCAGGTATCCGATAACACTTAACAATATCGGCAAACGTTTATTATCTCTATACAACAACAATGAATTATCTAGTTATGTCACAGTTACCGAAATCAACAACAACGCCGCGGCGCCGCCCGCCGACACGCGACGTCGCTGGCCGCGCGAGGGCGGCGCGCTGCCACACCGCTACCTTCCTCTGTCCTCTATGTACACACATAGACATCACAACTTCAAACTCAGAGACTGCATTACTGAAATATCTATCAGAAAGGCAAATTTTCTAGCTCAATTTATCGACTATTTTGTACAAGCTTAATACTCAAATGTTTTGTTTTGAGTGGCACAGTGACGTGGTGTCCACTGACTACGAAGTATCGGGTGCGAGTGGTTGGCTGGGGCCTGCGGGGCTGCGGGTCGCGTGGCCCTCTCCGCCTGCACTCATATCGACTAGGAAGATTAGGAAATGATGATGTGATGGAGCCAAAGCAGCTAAGGTAAGGGGATGATCAAGGTCACTTCATTTCTAAATATTATAAGTCACTATAAAACGCGTTTCGTTCTATCAAATAACATATTATTATGATTAGAGTTATTCTATGTACATTGTTGCATGAGGTATTTTCAACAGCGCTATAATTTTATAAAACATAACATTTAAAACATCTGTAACATAAACTTTTATTTCAAAAGGCCTAGTAAATTTTCCCTAAATGATAAGCTCCTCATTTTTCGTAGTTTAAGTGTTTAACAACAATCACCGAAGTAAAGTATCATTACAAAACTAACAAATATGTTCGACGACAATTAAAATAATTGAGTTTGTGTTCCTGTCAGTCAGCTTTGGTTATAACTGTAATACAACGGTATGTACAGTACAAGTGGACACTTCTATACGAATAGATAAAATAGAAAAGCTTGATAGTAAAGGCGCAGTAGAAAATAGTAGTAAAAGCCTAATAGAACAAGCTCGGGTTGTAGTCGTCACGACGATCCGTGGTGCCTCGCGCGTCTCTTGCCGAGACGTCGACGACGTCAGTTTACAAAACGTGTTGATATCTTTCGACACTTTCTTGTCTACAATTTATTCCCTATCTAGGCTCTTAGGAGCTCGCAAAGGACACAGTACGATAGTATAGCCGTATGGTGCTGAAGCTGAATCATGGATTCGATGAGGAAATATTGAATTCGAAGAATTTATCTTAAGTACTTTCGTAGTCCGTCGTCTGGTTTCTATCTATTACAAAATCAACCTAATTATTTTACTAATACTAGTGTTTTTAGTAATTCAATTCATGCAACTTTATTCATCATAACAAATTTCATAAGTACCTAATACTAATCACAAGAGGTTTCGCACTGACACGCGACGAGGTGGTCGGTGTGCCGACAGAGGCCGTCGAGCCGTGGGGAACACATTTGATTAAAGCACTATGTCTCATGTACATATTTACAGTAATTACGATAACAATAGGACAGTGTCAGCTCTATCTGTCGGGGGGCGGCAGCTTGGTGTCCTCGGGGTCGAGGGAGAGGCACTCGCGGAGGTAGTCCTCCATGGAACGGTACACGTGCTCGATCACACCCTTCAGGTCATGACCCTCGTCGGCGTATGCCTGGAACATACATACGTTTCAATAATATCTCTCACTTTTGTGGTCAGAGGGATTTAACTTTCGCTATGGCTCCATGTCATTACTAGGGGCTTCTTGTTCTTTTGTGTGGTAGACCTCTACGTCGGTACCCAATGGGTGAACAAAATTGAAGGGATACCGAGCACACACCCTCCAGTCGAGCTGGTTTATTTATGCCGCCTGGCCATCCCACGTGAAATTATTGATGGTTGGTTCCCATCAGGTGTTCCGAGTGTACATCGTCTGTGGTGTAAAAGTATCTACATACACGATAGTGAGTTAGTAGTTAGTACCTGGTATCGGAACAAGACGCCGGCGTCGGTGAGCGCGCGCGCCAGCTGCAGCGCGTGCGGGTAGGGCGCGGAGACGTCGGCCAGCCCGTGCACCAGGTACAGCGCGTGCGCCGGCACGTGGTGCGCGCGCTGCGACGCGTCCGCCTCCACGTACCCCTTGTAGTTCACCGACGGCTGGCCCAGGATGCGCTCCGTGAACGCTGCGTCTGTATCATTAGTACAGTTAATATTATCTTTTGGTCGATTACCATGGTCGACGTTGTTGTGCTTTTTTCATGCTGCTGATGCTGTCATGCTGTCGTAAAGTTACATTAAGATAAATATAATGACGGTTTTGTACCATTTCACAAAGAAAGATCGTTCTATATTACTGCTCTCGCAACCCTGGTAGATCTTAGATGATGGTTTAAAGAATCTTTGAGGCGGTTGCGTGATACGCGGTTTGCTGTAGCCTTATCCTTATCCCGCCCCAGGAGGCGGGAGGGAGTGACAGACTCATACTGACACCCCCCCCCCCTTCCTCCTTCCAAAACCTCCGTTCCTTCTCCTGCTTTAGGCCTAGGTCGCGGTGACTACTTGCGCTTGCTCCGCAACCCCTGCTGATTTGCTGTAGCCTCGGGTCCGATTTTTACAGCCCAAAGAAACACGATCACACGCTCTGCCACGTCTTTAGCTAGCATAATGGCTTCTAAGGTAGTAATTTATAAGACTTACTGTAATAAAGCCAGTCGGTGATGGGCGAGACAGCGATGCCACATTTGAGTGTGGATTGCTGCGAGCCCAGCAACATGGCCGTCACGTAGCCGCCGTAGCCCCAGCCCCACACTGCCACGCGTGTCACGTCCAGGAACTTGAACGTGTCTAATAAATATCTGGAAAGAAAACAAGCCGTTAATGATTATGTATTTTTCAACACACTTCCTTATAAAGTGGCTGTAATTCCACGGCAATTAGGCACGTAAACTGTAACCTTACTCTTATTCACAAGTTTAGTGAGTACTTTTTTCGCGTATTTTTTTTACTTATTGGTTGAGTTAAAATTTGGCGCTAAAGTAACCCAAAAAAAAACATAAATTTTTAGTCTATTGCCGATGCGCGCGCGTAGGAAAACGGGTAAAATTTTTTCTCTCTCTTTTTCCCTTTTAAGTTTTTTATTTTATTATTTTATTCAGAGGTGTGTTGAAATGTATTTTATACAACGACAAAGTAAGGAAAGGAGATGGACCATTTGGAGACCGATTCTATTAACATACATAACACAATTAAAGCCTTAAGCAATCATCAGTACCTATATTAAGCAATCAGCGCTGCCTATAGAGATCCGTAACAAAGGAGGAGTTACGAATACATTACCGACCTTTTGGGAATTAGGGATTTGGAGATTTTGGGATTGCGGGAGGAAGGATTGGGCCTCCGATAACCTAACATAAACGGTGAAACGACGTTATGGTTGTTTCACGCCGGTTTTTCGCCGATATCACTCCGGTCGAGCCGAACCATTTGTGCCGAAGCAATACGCTTGCATTTAAGAAGAAGTACTTGCCTAATAACAGCCAACTGGTCTGCGACCTCGACTCCCCCTAGCCTGCCCCGCAGCAGCGCCCGTGGCAGTCCCCGGGCGCCCGCCACGTCTAGCTTTACGTACACGACATCGTTTCGCGACGACATGTACGAGCCCCAGTCCACCAGGAACTCCTCTGTCACTTGCTGACTACCCGGCCTGCCGTCTCTGGAATTGGGTAATAATAAATATCTCCTGAGTCAAAATAAATTGAATTTTCAATAAAAAATACCTAACACATTAAAAAAAACATTTACTGCATTAAAAAAACGAAAATATGATGACTTTTCATACTGTTGTTTTGGCAAATTTCGATAGAAGTATTGAATATGACTAGGTGTTAAATATTTGTCGATACATAATATGTATAGTATAGTAGTTTCGCCACCATATCTTTTTCTTCCGTGGAAGTAAGAGTTGACTAAGATACACTACACATTTTAAAGAGCCAGAGGCTTTTTGCGGATCCCGGATTGTGACCTTTTATGCTGTGAACTTCAAAGTGCTTGCAAAGCGTAAAGATTATGGAAAAACTTTTATGTAGAGGAGTCCCAACAATAAACTTTCACTTTCTGTTGATGGTGAAATACTAGTTTCACATCACATCATCATCAGCTTATCATCAGCTCACACGGAGAAGGTAAGCATTAATGACAACTTGCTGATTTCAAACTTATAATTAAGTAGAAATTATAAAATCAAGTTTCCTCACTATATTTTTCTTCGCCGTACGTGAGTGGTGTCTCAATAATCATAGACAGTATAACATCTATATAACTCGGAAAATGTCTCATTGGGTCTTGCCAGGTTTTGAACGCGCACCCTCATACGCATGAGATGCGAAACAATTTCGACGTTTTTAAAATAAATTATACTCAGTAGGTAAATAAAAGTATCCTAATGTGCATCTCTACCACGCTTTTCGAGGATCATTTTTCCTGGGCGTTCAAGTAGTTATTGTAGTATTTAAAAAGGATTTGGCGAGAATTCTTGTTAATTACCAAGGTCTAACATAACAACAATTTCGTGCCAAAACATTTTATTTGGCAAGTTTAAAGACACCGGCACCTAGTAGTTTCCGTATATGAACATTTTTGACTTATGCGTCGCAATCTCAGTTGGGATTAGACGGGTACTTGGCGCAATGCCTGCTTGTTGTGTGCGAGACAGTTTAATAACTTTCAAACATTAATTAAATTGTTATGCATAATAATATATTTCAGACCCGATCAGAAGTAAAGATTTTAAATATCTCGGTACTTCAAGATTTTATAATTGTTTTCGACGGTAACTTAGGTAGACATTTGTAATGAGCTCATTCTTTACAGCCCATATTGATGTACTATGGATTCAATATAGAAAAGTTTAGTAAATTGAAAATTCTGTATAGGTAGGTATGTACTTTCTTTAAATGTGTACGTTTGTAGGAAAATGCAAATGTTAAAATAAATTCAGGTAATACGACATTAAAATAAGTATTTAAAAACTTACACATGAACAAGCACGGGAAAGGCAGCATCTCTGAGCTCCTCTCTCCAGGAAGGCGGCAGTAGCAGCTGCACTCTCGCCTTGGAGCCACTGCCTAATGCTACTTCAAAAGACCGCCGCGTCGGCAGAGCCAACTCACGCAGTCGTACTGATCTGGAAATTATTATCGAAACATGAAAGTCAGTTTTGATAATCGTGTTAATTACTCGTGCAATAGTAGATGGCAATAAAACTAGGTGTATCAAGCGGTAACAATTTCCCAAGATAAATAGTCATAATAGAATATCATAATGGATTTAACCTGGTGGTGGTTAAATCTAGTATTTAAAGGGTCAACACTCAACGTCACATCAACAACTACAAAGGGTGCAAGAGAAAGAAGAGCAAAGGAGTCCTCACCTATAAGGCCTCGTGTCATACAATATCCTCTCTAGCTTGTGCGTGCGCGCGTCGTGCAGGCCGGCGAGGGGCGGGCCGGGGCCGGCGCACTCCAGCACGTAGTGTGTGATGCCGAGGCGCGCGCGCGCCGGCGAGAACGTGGCGCGCCAGAACGAGCAGTTGGCGTAGTGCAGCCGCGCCGGCCACACCGCCAGCTCGCACGTCAGGCAGCGCGGCTCCTCCCGCTCCGCGCGCGCCTTCACCGAGTTACTGCCGCCGCCGTAGCTCGGGTCCCGCACCACGTACACCTGCCGCTGCCCCGGCCGGTCCGCACTGCCTGTTTCCGACAATGCCCAGTCAACATCTCCACCCACACCGACGACACACACTCCCCAAATCATCAAACCACACGCAATGTCCTGAACCAAAACTCTAATGAAAGGAACATGTAACAGTTAATACGAGGCCAACATGACGAGGACTGTGGGTTAGTGAACTGACCTAGTTGACAAAAGAACACTCAACTGCACTCAATCTAAATACTTAATTTGATTTGCTTCCTTCACCAAATCTGGATGCAGTCTATGTATGGCTATCGTTTCTTTGTCTAAACCTTTAAATAAATAAAAAACCAATTTCAAAAATTGTGTCAAGTAAAGTTTCGTTGAATAAGAAATAAACTTACCTAAATAATAAACTAAATGGTTTTCCTGGTCCCATGCCAGGATCTCGGTGACCTCGACCTTCCCATGGGAGAGGACAGCCATGCGCTGGCGCAGTACATCAACGTGCTTAATGTGCGTGTAGTACTGCCCTCCGCCCTCCTGCACGGCCGCGAGCAGGAGGAACGCACTGCCGTCCTCCGAGTACACAGGCTGCTGGTGTACCTCTAACCAAGGCTCCTCTGTAGCTTTTTCTGAGTGCGTCTAAAATGAAATAAAAAAAATTATAATCTGTGGCACATATCTTACCAGACTAGGAAATTCGCGAAATAGTACCTCAGTGCAAGTCCAGTTTGGAGCATAACAACTGCTATAAACTGTGAGGTTTTGCGCTCGATTCATCCACACTACACCTACATGAGAATTGTCTTTGCCCACCCACTGGGCTGATATGAGATAATATTCCCTGAAACATGGAGACATATTTGTAAAACCGACTTTTAAGAACTTTAATGTTGTTTTAGAAGTAGTATACTTACATTCCATCTAACGTACTTGGAGGCCTCACTTCCCATCTTGGCGGTGAGGTCGAGTTTTGAACACTTACTATCCATAACTTTACCTTTGGTATTGCACTGCCAGGCTGTGGACATTCAAGTTTTATTGTAAAACGCATTTTATCGACAAATTATTGCTTAAAGAGGAATCCAAATAAATGTTTAATGTAAAAAAGCAGTGCGTTCCTCCAACCTATAAAATAGTATTTACATATATGTAACTTTAATAAGTAGTATTTACATAAGCCAGTTTATAAAATGTATATTATCTATATCTTGATTTTGCTTGATTCTTGTACCTGCTGTTGACTCCTTTCCACATGTTCAGGTTCGACTGGCAAAGAATGCCTATGGCATTAAGTCCATCTTGTACACAAATGTTTGTGCAAAACTAATATAAAGCTGAAGATTTTGTTTGTCCATTTATCCAGGAAGGCTAGAAGCTATAAAACATCATGCCCAAACATCTGTAGCAGCGGGTGAAACTGCGCGAGAGTAATCTAATAGTAAATAAAAAGTCTAGAAGATTATCGGTTCATACCGTGGGATATCTGACAGTGACTTGGTCGGGGAAGACAGTGTGTGCGGAGGCGTTGTTGGTGGGTATCTGCAGGAAGCCGGCCCGCGCCGCGCCGACGCCCGCCAGGCTGTCGGCGATGCGCGGCAGGCGCAGCTCCGACACGGCGCTGTCGTCGTATTGCACGTACAGCACCAGTGTACCGTCCGACGAGCCCCATGTCGCTGACGCCGTTTTCGTCACCTCCTCTGCGTAGTACAAGACACATTGATAGGTATTTGTTCAGTTAGAAGGTATGGTTGAGAAAAGATTAGCACACTAAGTGAAATTATTCGCAATGTTTTTTCAATATTACCATGGATAGTTAAAGCAATTGTAAACGCCAACGACATCTATGGAGGGAGAGAGAAAATGTTCGATATTTTTTATAATTTTGTACTTATGGTTCGTTACTCACACACCAGCCGCCGCATTTTGTTATTATAAAATAGGTAAAGTACCTAATCATATTTAGAAAAAACACACCAGTACTAAAATTAGCTGTATAATATAATACTATTTACAATTGTACACTCACCTTGATAAAGAAAGTCGGACACGCCATTGTAAACAGCACCTGGGGAGGCGTCGGTAGTGAGGCGCAGTAGAGGGGCCCGGCGCGCGGGGGGCCCGGGCCGCGCCAGCACCTCGTTGTCCGCCGCCAGCAGCAGGGACCCGTCGCCGCCCAGCCAGGCCGCGTGCTGCCACTCCCAGCTGCGCTGGCCCTCGCCAAACAGCGGGATGTGGTGGCTGCAAAAATTCTCAATTGTAGATAGTCATCTTCGCCATTATTCTGTCAAATATAGGTATTTCCAATAGCACGCTACTCGTTTCTAATGTTTGCTCTTCGCATTCCCGGGGCTGAGGGGTAAGCGCAATGAGCAACGCGGCCCTGGCCTAGAACAGGAGAAGGACCGGGGGGTTTATTAGGTAGTAAAAGTCTGACTATCCCTCTTGTCTCACCAGGGCGGAAGATGTCTGCATCAGACATTCACAAGTCAATAAATATTAATCATTTTACAAACTTATAAAAAGAAACCCTTCGCATTCAACAACAGCCTGCTACTTAGCGAATATAGTCACTTCTATGTCACCTAGTTAGTTCTATGGTCATTGAGTATCGTTAGGGGCGGCTATGGCTACACAACGTTTGCCTAGACATGACGCTTTAAAACACGTCTAGCTCAACGGTCATTAGATCATCGGTAAAATTTGACCAGCCTACCAGTCACCCGGTAGACGCACGTATATTTTGTTATATCTAAAATTCAGGTCAAATTCAAAATTGTAACCGCAACTCTGAAGACAACGTCATTATTTAATTGGAGTCAGATTTTTATTCAATATTCATACGAAACACATAGCGGTCTTAAAATGAAGATATTGTAAAAAAATCGTGATTTACCCATCCTAAAAAAGCGCTAAATTGTTTAGGAATAGCAACAAAACAACGCATTAAAGCTACCGTTAATACAAGGTAGCGCCACATTAGACATTCGCAAGTCAATAAAAACTAATCATTTTACAAACTTACAATAATGACCCTTCTGACGTCATTATCTTTATCTAGAAGGTAGTGTAGGTGCCTGCCAACCTGATAAAGTGGTCCGATTGCCGCCGCATTTTCTACTAACTAATTAATCCGTTCGGATTGCCAGCCCTCCTACGATAGCTACTTACAATTTACGCTGGAATTCACAAGTATTTCACGGGATTAATTCGTCTGCAAACGGCGAGATTGTTTGCTCGTGAAAGTGGGTATTTAATTAAACTATTATTGAATATTTTATTGATGATAATAATCGTGATCGTGATAGCGACATCTGACCAACACTAATTATATGTTGCCTCCTTTACTTTTGACTTCTTATTACTAAATATAAAACTATGACTGCTTGTACAAACTTTTACTGCACGGTTGCACAGTTGGTGCGGTGGCTGTGCAACTGGCTGTCGTGCAACGTTTCGCGGGTTCGATTCCCGCACGGAAAAACTCTTTGTGTAAGCTACAAATTGTTGTTCCGGGTCTAGATGTGGTATGTATGTGAAATTGTATGTTTGTAGCCGCACCCACGACACAGGAGAAAATCCTATTGTGGCGCAATGTTAAAAAAAAAGCTAATGTATAACAATTATCAATTACCAAGTGATAAACATAGAAATATAAAGTTTTTAGTAAGTACACTACTAATGTGGTTTATTTAAACCACAATAGTAGGTATTGTGGTTTAAATAAAAAATGGTACGGTTAAAGTATAATTAAAATAGTACCAATTATGATTTCACCTAAAAAAATACAAAGTAAACGACACGAGAAGTGGTGTGAACGTCTGGCGTCGTTATTACATGAATTGAGTGCCACGCGAGATGCGGCAACAGGTGCTTGGGTGCAAAAATATAACAAGCAAAGGCTATTTCGTAGGGAGAAATAACGGAACTAACTTAGGTTTAAATCTTAGCTGCAAATAGTTTCTTAGACGGTCATTTGAAAGCAGTGAAGTATTCCCCCCAAACCCAAAACCTACCTCCCTCAACCGCATTAAAATTCTACTCGCAAATTTTGAAATAAATTGGAAATCGTATTCACGTAGCTATCGTCGAATCGATTTCTTCACCCGGGAGACGACCGGAGAAAGAAAATTTCACAAAAGAAATATGATTTAAATGAAAAAACATACTGGAGAGACTCTCTTTAATATCGGCTTTTAAAGCCAGTCGCCCGCGGGTAGGTACGCTTTCAAAACTTTTTTTTAGGGTAATGTCTCATGAAATATGAGTTTTAAATTGTTTCCACAGTCAATCCCGCTTTTTAGCTATGAGTTGGATGTTTCCTCTACTCATACAAAAAATAGAATACAACAAAATAAAGTTACGAAGTTAACCGTACCAACTTATTGTCTGCGCACAGATGCCTACGTGTTTTCTCAATGGCTCTAAATTAAATAATTCAATAACCGCAAAAGAATGAGATGTTGCAAGTAGGTTACCGACATTGGAATTCCAGTCGAAACAAATGAATGTGTGAAGAGAACAAATTGAAGTCGTGCAGATATTTTATATTCTTTCAGTTCCTAGAGGAGACACAGGCACGCCGGCCGCGCCACAAACATTTGTTATACTTATTGAGCAGCACCGCCCGCCATTTATGCAATAACTCGATTCTACGTATAATTTTGAAGCTAGAATACAATGTGCTCGTCAAAATGAAGGACTGAGCGTCCTCTGATATGCCAAACAAACGCCACTCTTCGAAGGTGCGGTAGCTGAAAACCAATTTGGGACGCGAAATTTAATTTTCAGTCGGAAATTTAATTACGGAAACTTCAGGGTGACTTTAACTGAGACCTTTAGGCTGCTCAAGCATCAAATATCAAAGCTACTCACTCATTTGTGACGTCATAAACGGTGTAGTGCGCAGTAAACGTCCGTCGGTAAACCTGCGAAATAATAAAATGATAAATAACAATGTTCGAGTGAGATGCCGACTCTAATGACCGACTTGTTTGTGTTGTAGCAGAAAAACTATTAAAAACCTTTTAATGTTGCGTTGCTACGTACCTCCTTGATATTGTGTTGGAAGAGCACGTAACGCAAGTTCGGAGAGCACTGATAGCCTCGCACATTTAGCTGCCTCTGTGATCAAAATGCGAAGCTCGTTAGTTACAAAATTAATTATACAGCTTTGAGTAACAAAAATGTGTTAAAGTAAATAATTAAATTGTTTAAAGTAAGACAAAAGTCCGGCTTCTCTCTGTGTGAACCTCTTAGGGTTATCGTAATAATACAATATACTTCGCAGACAAGGGGTGAGATGGTACAGTCATAGTGTGGTCCGAGCGAAGCTTTTAGAGACCAGACGTTGATGTAATAATAGAGCGTGCAGACCACGCTCCGACTTCGTAACTACACCGCACGAACGAATACAACCGTGAAAAACACTGCTAAACTGATAAATTCACATTTTCTCTTTTTACTTTAGTAATACTCGTAAATGTCTTCATTCCTCCATAATGCGAAATATCCTCTTTAAAGTCGGCGGCATACTCAAATTTTCATTCCCGCTACCCGCAGCATAATAACGCCATTATGGAGAATCGGGGATGTCGCCATAAATTTTATAGTAAAGAGCATCGAAGTAATACCGTCCGCACTTACAAACCTTGGATATTGACATGAGTGCAGGATTAAAACAGTTCGATTTACGTCATTTAAATATAAAAGTATTAAAGGTTGTCAACGTAAAGAGGAATACGGTAAAAAGAGACAGACATATATGGTGAGGGTTGAAGATTTACAAGAAGATACTGTACTCACTAGTGTGTGATTGGTGACGAGAACAGTGAGCGTATTGTTGAAGGTGTCGAGTGCCAGCAGGCCACCGTCGTCCGCTTGGTACACGAGCTGGTGCGAGCTCACCCACGTGGTCGGAAGTCGCTCGCCCGTCAGGTCCCCGTGCAGGAACTCGTCCAAGCGCATCCGACGACCCGACCAGTACAACAACTCGTCCACATACCTGTTTCACATTAATTCACACATTTTAATCACTCCAACATGGCTCCCACTTTCTCAGCTTCTCAAGCGACAAAGGCAGAATTAACTTTCTTCTCAACAAAACTTATCAAAGTTTGCATCGCCAACTTGTTCGTACTTTAGTCATTCATTAAGGAGTTATCAAAGTGTTTTTTAATAAGCAAGTTAAAGTGGAGCAAGGAGAATAGACTCACCCTAACAGATAGATAGCTGTGACAATACCGGCTATCACAAAACTGATGACCATCAAAGAAAATATGATGCTCCGCCAGTTGTGGCCATCTCCTTGATATAAGTCCTGAAAAATATTTGTGCCGTTAAAGAATCGTCGAAAGGGAGGCGCGGGGGTGTTACAAAGCAAAATGACATCGTCAACAATCTCGAGACTCGCTAAAAATAAGCGAAGAGCTCGGGATTTGATTTATGACGCCGGAAGGTGTCGGGTTCAATGACGCGATATTACAACGATTCCGCCGACAAAGGCTGTATAACTTCGATTGCTCTTTTTGGCTGAACATTGAATATTGTTTCGAAGAATCTTGAATTTTAAATCCGTTTGATTTATTTCCATTCACATGGAATCAATAAATTGTTCATCTGGATATTAATAAAGAGATGCTTCGCTGTTAAGGCGTCGCTTACATTACATGTTAAGTAATTAATCAATATGTTAACATGCATGACTTAATGTATATCTCACAACATGTTTGTGTTTGTCTAATTTCAAGAAATTGTGGCTTAAATTGTCTTTTTTGTGGATTAAGTTACTCACCTCCTCCTTGGCGGACTTGGGGTCGGCGACTTGTAGGGTCTCGTCGGGCGGGAGGCGCCAGGAGCCGCCGCCGCCGCCGCCGCCCGAGCGGTCCGTGTGGCCGGTGGCGTGCATGCGCCGGCGCCGACGCGCGCGCACCCGCCACCGCGCCGCGCTACGCTGCCGCGCCCGCCGCGCTCTCCGGCCTGCGACTGCGCGCACCGCCTGCCGCTCCGCTGCGCCGCCTGCGCGGGACCGCCTCCATCACTGTAAACAAATTACCTTGTGTTATCCTCTACTATTTTAAATTTACGCTAAAATACAATTTAATGTTACAGAAAACCTTATCTTTAAAACAATAGTCGTGCTAAATCGGACCGAACGTTGTGGTTTCGCTCGGCAAGCTGAAATAAAAGAAGCATTTACTGGCGTAACTGCTCTTGTTTAAGCTGCATTTTCAATTTTATGCAGTGAAAAGGAACAAAACAAGACCGCAATGCGTGCAGTCCGGTCGCTTCATAGGACCACTGTAGCGACGACTCAACCGCAGGCGGTGTGCTTCCGCTCGAAAAATTGCTACGAGCCCAACATCCACATTGTACACAACACCACGACTCCCGACTTCTATACTAAGTTTTCCCAACTAGTTTATTAAAAATATACGATCCGATTTTGATATGCGAACGTGTTTTTAAAGTACATTTTTTTTAGTTTGAACAATAATTTGATTTTACGAATTTTTCAATTACTCGGCGATAGATCATTTTGTTAATTGTTTTTGTTGACGTGGCCTGTCAATACGCGGTGGTTCTCCAACACCCTGCTATGTTGGACAGCCGCCAACTCTCGCGCACACTCGCACTGTGTACACTCGCTCTGCGCCAACTTTACGACTTGGTTTCACTATTATTTCAACTGCTCACTCAATGCGATTTTTAGCTAGATGCCGTTTTTATTACCCGAATATTCAGATCAGTCTATCATTACAGTGAACCGATTACGCTTACCAGATAGTAAATACATCGAAAATAAATAGCTGTAAGAATGACTGCTTCGTAAATTGCTGGCGATGCCTTATTACTTGGGCAGCATGCCCGTAGGCCGACTGGCGTCGTGCGGTCGCCGTGCACACTTGGCACGAGTACTACTGATATTTCTTCCTTTTTGAGATGAACTGAAGCATAGTCCTTAATCTAAATAACTACGGCTGAGATCCTTAGTTTTCAAGCACAATTTCAAGTTATTGATGTTACATTTTTTGCTAACAAAACTTTAAACCGTAGTCAAACTACTTAAGTCAAGTGTCTTCCGGTAAAACGAGAGGCAAGCAAAGTTTTGAGGCGAAAAGTTGTTGCAGCCGGGTCAGATTAATGACGTGCAATAGACTCGAGCTGCGGAGGGCGCTGAGAGGCCCCAATTTCGAGCATTAAACATGTTTCTTATAATTGCTTGCTAGCTTTGAAAGCGTTTAAGTAAAGCCTTTATAGCCTGAACGTGGCTCGAAATGCTGAAATGGACTCGGCTGCAATGCGGGTGGCCAGGAGTAGAATTAAGATAGTAATGTATGTACCATTTCTTCCTGTCCACTGCGTTAGGAAAAACTTTACAGTTTGTGATTGTTTCCATTTGCGTACTTATTATATTTTGAATGGGCAGCAAAGATATGAAAAATGAAAACGAGTATAAAACAAGGTCCAGTAACTTATAGAGAATTTTATGAATTCGTAAACTGACAATTCCCTCAAATAATTACAATAAGTTAATGCATGTCCTGCAAGGCAGCGAAGCAAATAACTCTGCAGTAGGATTACGACTAGCTTCACCTGGAATGCTGGGACGGATTTATAGCATTAATTAAGTAAGTGAGGATTTATTACGATCCCACTTCGGGGTACTTCGGAGTACTTCGGAGCCATTCGACAACTTTGTTGCCGCCGTAAGCACTTCTCGACGACCTCTCGTCCGGAACGATTGCGTTTAGGAACACACGGACACATAGTGTTATGTGCTTTTATTGTTCAACTTTCCACTAACGTACTGATATAAATTTTCGATGTTAGTTTTGGTTCTGATGTTAGAAAGATTGCAGCAGTAAGTAATGGTAATTCATCACACTCCGAGCGAACGCCTTGTTCGTCTGTGTTAATTGTGCTTCAATTGTGTCTCGAATTATTACGATTGACAGGTTAAAGGCTTAGAAATCAATTGAATAATAATGTTCATATTGCTATTAAAATATTAAGGGATTTGTTTCGACTAATTTTGCTTGCAGTTGTCGGATTCTAATCTGACTTCCAAGTTGATTTAAAGAACCATTACTGACTTTTTATGTCAAGAACAGCCTAAAACGCTCTAGAAGGGAGTCACACAGGCAAATTACGAGTTAAACCGAGTTTTTTAAGGATAGAAATCTGGAAAACTGATATCTGACGTAATCTGGTTTAGCCGTAGAAGCGCAATGATATGGGTATTGTGACTCGGTTTGAAGTAGGGGAACGACCGAGTTGATTTTTAGTCAGTGATCTGAAAAATAGCCACTACTTAGTTCTACAAAACTACTTTAAATAGCACACTGTTTACGGACTATCCAACTTGATATGCCCGAGAGTTATGTTAAATTATTGTCCTTTTTAATCTAGATTGGAATAGTGTCAAGGCCGATCGCGTCCTGGCATTGGGCCAGGATCTAATTCAATTTGTACTACCCTGGGGTCGCAGTATATTTCTCATGATATTTTTTTACGATCCCATAAAAGCTATTAAACATTGTTCCGTTAATGTGTTTCGTTTTAACGCCATGATTTTACTGTGAAATAATTAACTAACTAGCTCATATACGAGTTTTTAATGTCTTTTGTTTCGGCTTAATATACCTGATCTGATATTAGATGCTTCCAGTGTTTTGAGGATGAAATAATTATTGCTTTTCGTATATTTCTATACGTACGTCGGCTGCTCCTTGTGGAATGATTTTGATAATCTGTTCTTTTGTTTAAAAATGCAATACGGATTATTTTACTGGTTTATTTTTATTAGACGGACGAGAATTTATGTAAGTAACACGGAATTTGCTTTTTAAGCTTTCTTACATTCAAACATTCGGTTTTATAATGTTATTCGAATTAAGACGTTGTGTTTATTAGTGAAACGATTATTCGGGGTATTAGCATTTAAGTTACCCCTCGTGTACGTTTTATGTTCGTAAATTCAATGGTCCCTACAACCATTTTGTGGTGTAGCCTACCCAACTGGAAATTTGGATGGCTAGCCATTACAAACATTAAAAGTATCTGTAAAACCTTTAACAACAACTATGGTTTTACATAAAAATGATTCTCGATTTCCTTTGGTCACGGTCACACGTCAAGGGCTCGAGCGGTCTGATATTTTTGTTTATTTTGTTTTTCTAAGATCAGGAGAAGGTTTACCGCATGGTAAGCAATCAGCTCCGTCCATTGACACTCGTAATACCAAAGGAGTAAATACAAGTGCGTTGCCGGTCTCTTGTGGGCTATTAAAGATTTAGAGGAAAGGGCCTACGTTAACTCACTTGACGAAACACAACGTGAGTGTTGCTTTACACTGGTTTTCTGTGAGACCGTAGTATAATTCTGGTCGCCAGCCCATTCGTGCCCAACCATGGCTCTCCCACATACACTTAGAGGTATTAAAGGTTAGATTCAATCGACTTACCGTATAACCTACCGAACGCCAAAGATCACTATATTTTTAAGAAAAGCCAAAATTGCTGCGAGCACAAATACAAAAACTCTTCTGAACGTTGACATCATATTAAGACCACTCGAAAACTAACCGTGCCGTTTACAAGGAAAATAACATGAAAAAACAATACGAGGAAGACTGTAGAAAAAAACAGAATAAAACATTGGACAAAAGACCTCGTTCCCCATAACTTGCGTGTTTCTCCACGGGTGTAAACAACGAGATGTGTTTTGAAAACCCCTTGAAAGGAGGGCGTATCACAATATGCTGGGAAATCAGCGCGGGTGAAGTGGGGACTCTTATGGGAGATTACGCTGTAAGAGCTTCTCGTTATACTTGGCTAAACGGTATATATGTTTTGAGACTTTTTGAAAATAACTCTTTCTTAAACGTTGTTTTTCTTTAAATAATTCTTTTAAATTCCTATTTTTTATACTAATTACTTAGTAGTATGATTCGTAATCGCTTCTACAATTAACAGTATGCCTTCTAAGGCTACAATGTCATCATTATGAATGGCTATTTAAGGCAGATTATGAGCTTCTACTTATAAGAGTTTAACATAATCTCCTTGGCAGGCAGTTCTGATGTCAAAGTTGGAAAAGGTTCAAGTTTCTTAGAGAGCTCTACTACCTGGCCTCTGTTAAATTTTGAGTTCTTAAATCGGCTGATACAACATCCATGAAAAGTTGTAGCGAATGGTGAAGTTTTACGTATTGTCATCATCAGTCTGATGCCGTCCACTGCTGGACATAGGCCTCCCCAAATGCACGCCACTGAGCTCGATGTGCAGCTCTTCTCATCCAACCACTGCCAGCGACCCAGCGGATATCGTCAGTCCACCTAGGGTGGAGCATACGGTAGCGGTATGCCCTGCCTGGGCTGAGCACCGCCGTATCCTCAGGGAAGTGATCGGCGGCGGCGACCTCTCGCGCCCGGCCTTAGTCGAGGCCATGGTGCGGAGTGAGAGGAACTGGGACGCCGTCTCCTCCTTTTGTGAAGCAGTCATGCTCGCAAAGAGAGAGGCGGCCCGCGTGAGGGAGCAATCCTCCTCCTCACGCCCCAGCAGCCGCAACTGGCGACACTACGGGCGTCGGGGATCGAGGGACGATCTCCGGCCACCGTAAGTACGGGCCTGCGGTCGGCGAGTAAGGGCAGCTCGCCGCCCGACCAGAACCAGGCCCGAGCGTACGGCGCGTAGCGTTCCGCGCGCGCCTCAAAGAGCCAATAGACCACCACAGACGGGGCCCTAAAGGGCTGATGTTCAGCCGGGGTTGCGGGGTAAGCGCAATGAGGTACCGCGACCTCGGCACAGAGCAGGAGAAGGAACAGGGGGGTTTTTAGTCAGTAAGAGTCTGACACTCCCTCCTGCCCGGCCCTGGGCGGGAGAAGTCATTTAATGATTTTCCCCTCACAAAAAAAAAAAAAAAACCTAGGTGGG